GATGATGCATGCTTGATTTGCCTCGCCTGGAAACCCGTTACCATGCCACAGTTGCCTCTGTTTACACTGCCCTGCACCTCTGAAGACTGTACAAGTCCCAAGGTTGGTTCTAGAACACTCCCTGAACATTGTGGGATGTCACCGGCCAAGAGAGATGGTCACCGGCTATGGAAAAGTGGTCATCGACCAGTTGTGAGGCTCTCGGCTAACAATGCATGGCCGGCCGGCACTGAATGTGGTCGGTCGGCCATTTCTTCCTGCAGAACCCTGCTTGACAGCAGCAGAGGACAGACAAGGCATGACAATGCATTTTTAAAGCAAATGTTTGCACAACCACCCTCCCCATCATGTTATAGACTCAAGGGAGTGTGGCCCTCGATCCTCGGGCCACCAATCACGTATTTCAATGCATGCTGGCCCGAAAAGCCAAAGTGTGCAATTTCAATGTCAAATGAAATGCACACAAAACAAACAAGACGCCTCCAACCTCTATCATGGTTTGATCAAGAGGCAAGAGATGCATGATATGCTATGCAACCTAAGCATGCGAGCTAAGTATGCAACATGAACATGTGGACAAACATGCAAGCATGTGACAATATTCAAACAATGAGCATGCAAGACATGATGCAACCAAAGCATGCAAACATGAAGCAATGTAACAACATTTTAGCAACATGCAAAAGATGGACTTAAACTAATATGGACAAGCCTCAACCATGTCTAAATCAGTGGCCATATGAGATGAGAACAAGGCCCAAGATTCATGCAAATATGCACAATGCAAGGGCTCTAAGCCTAAGGCACAAAATGTAACTTTCCAAGAGCAATGCAAGGATGAAACATGGCATACAATGACATACATTCCAGCTCTAAAATGGTATACTAAATGATTCCAAAATGACTCCGAAGCATGCAAACACTCATGATATGCATGGTAGGGGCTTCAAAACCCAAGACTAGCCTAAGCATTTACACTATAGCTATACAAAGCATGAGTGATATGGCCATGGTAGCCCAAAACAATCCTAGGATAGCCCAAAATAAGCATAAAATCATGTTATAGTAAAACCAAAATATGCTAGGATGATGAGTCAAAACATTATGCACAAGAGGCTAGTAAACAAGATTTATTCTACACCTATATGGAGCATGCAAAGGATGACCAAACCAACTATGGATAGAGTCATGATATGGCAAAACATTACAAAAAACATGCTGAAATGTAAACCAAACAAGCTAACAAGACATGACAAAGCATGAAGCATGTGAAGCTAGTTTAGGGGATTTACACTACAAGTGTATGAAGCATTCAAGGGGTTACTAAACCAGCCCAAAACAGATTATGACATGCCAAAATATGACCAAATACCCACTGAAATGTATTCAACACATGCAAAAATGAGGTGCTACTTTGAAAAGCTATGAAGGGGGTTGCTCTACACATGCAAGAGGTAAGCCTTAAATGACAAAAACAGCTCCGGAAAGAGTTCAAGCAGGCCCTAAAACTCATTGAAAAAGGCCTAAACTGAGCTCAAGAAGTGTGCAAATATGGGCTCCTTTGTAAGCCCAAAAATGCAAGTAAACAAGACAATAAGGAGAGGGGATGGCCCTCTCATTCTTAGGACCTCAAAACACCATTCTCACCACTGAAATCCAAAAGGATTTCAGTGGTGAGAAGGCCAATACAAGGTGGTTCCGAAGCTCACAAAAAAGGCACAAAAATGAGCCCAAACAAGGCCTAAGAGGGGGTAGAAAACCCCAAACACAAAAGTTGTCTTAAACAAACTTCAAAAGGAGCTCAAAATAAGACTTTTTCAGTTTATGACAAAGCTCGAAAATGCTTGCAAGTATGGCTAAAAGATGAAGCAAAATAAAGACCAAAAGAGGGTAAAGTGTGCTCACCCTTGTAGCTCAGCAAAACAGCCACTTCTCTGGACCAAAACTAGCTCCTTAAGCCCTCTCAAGATCTTCCAAGAACCTTAGGTTAATGGTGGAAGGGTTAGGCTATGAGGTGGTGTGCAAAGGGCCAAAAATCTTACTCTTTCTAAGCCTAAGTGTAGAGATACAAAGAGAGATATATGTATGGATCCTTAGACAAATTTTTTGGAACCCTTGCAATGGAAGAGGAGCTCTTCTTTTATAGAGGAACAAAGGTGAAAGCTTCTCTTAGAAGCTTGAGCAAAGGGGCCAAGCTTCTCTTAGAAGCTTGGAGCAAAAGGGCCAAGCTTCTTGAGGAAGCTAGAGCAAAGGGGTCAAGCTTCCTCAAGAAGCTAAGAAAGAGTCAAGCTTCTCTTAGAAGCTTGGAGCAAAGGGGCCAAGCTTCTTGGAGAAGCTAGGCAAAGGGTTCAAGCTTCTTAGAGAAGCTAAAAAGGGTCAAGCTTCTTGGAAAAACTAGAACAAAGGGTTCAAGCTTCTTGAAGAAGCTATAACAAAGGTTCAAAAGGTTCAAGCTTTCTCAAGAAGCTAAAACCAAGGTTCAAAAGGTTCAAACCTCCCCAAGAAAAGGTCTCGGCTAGAAAAAGTGGCCGATTGACCAAAATCAGTGGCCAGCCGACCAAACACAATGCCGACCGGCCAACACCTTTGGCCGGTAGCAAGAAAACAGGGCCGGTGGCCTCAAGCCATGGCCGGTGAGGTGTGGGGATGGCCAACAAGCTATTTCCCATCCTCAGAAGCAAAACAATAAGTGTTTGGTACGAAACCAAACACAAAACAAACAAGTCGAGAGGTCTTGAGGCAAGGCGCGCGGCCGAAACCTCTGAGAACTCAAGACGAACACGAACATGGATGATCATCGAGTGTTCAAACGATGACGTCCAAGTCTTGAGGATGATCAAAATTGGGTGTCTACAGCCGTCTAGTCAACGAACTTCGGAGAGTACTATCGAGATGTAACTCTATTTTAAAGGCGGTAATGGCCATGGAATCATTGTAGGTATCATCCACCAAGTTGAAACACTCCCAATAGTGCACCGAATATTCATGAAGGGTCTCTTTTGGTATAATTTGCATCGCCTAGAGAGAATCGGCTTGCTTTAGCTGAACCACGTTGGTAATGAATCTTGCCCTGAAGAATTTTTAGAGCTGGTGAAAGCTTTTTATTGACGCTAGCTCCAGTTTATAGTACTATCTAACGGTCAATGGTCCCAGGCTACTTGGAAACATTCGACGTGGCTGGTGAGTGGTAGTGGTGGGTAGGTGGCAGGTGATGGTGGCGGGCAGATGGATGGTAGTGGCGGGCGGATGGATGGTAGTAGCGGGTGGGTGGTGGTGGCGGGTGGTGGCAGGCGGGGGGTAGGTGGTGGTTCAGAATGTCTGACGTGGAAAATGGTGGCGGGTGGTGGCTAGTGTTGGGTGGTAAAAAGGGAGTGGCAGGCGGCTGGTGAATGGTGGTGGCGGCCGGATGGATGGATGGTCACTACAAGAATTTACACATTTTGCGACCACTTTTGCCGACCAAAAAAATTTTAGTCGCAAAAAAATGATATTTGGTGACCAAATATTAATTAGTCGCGAATGATCATTATTTTTGGTGACCAAATATTATTGGTCGTAGAAGGTTATATTTTGGCGACCAAAAAATGAGTTGGTCGCAAAAAGTGGTATACTTTTGTCGACCAACTACAAATTTGGTCACGGAAGGTCACATATTTTTTGGCGACAAAAAATTTAGTCACCAAAAACTTATTTTCAGCAACCAAAAAAAATTAGTCACCAAATTAGTACTTTTAGCGACTAATATTTTAGTCTCCGTTGATTGAGATTTGGCGACTAAAAAGTTTGTCGGCGAAGGTACTTTTTCTGCGACTAATCTGGTCATTTGGTCGCGAAAAGTTTGGGAGGGAATTTTGAAACATGGAGGGGGAAAATGAATACCAATTCGTAAGAAATGAGATTATCCATTCCCGCTACTGCCATACGGGAATGGCTCTTTCGTTCCTCTTAGTCTCAGGTCGGCCATCGGCCTCTCTCATCAGCTGCCTCGCCGCCCCTCCAGCTCTGCCGCCACCAAACCCTAACCCAACCGCCTTACCCTCCTTAACCTGCGCCCTCCAGTGCCCTCACTTCCAATCGTACGCACCACCACTTCACGTCTCTATTTCTCTACACTTGTCGACTCTCTCGGCATCTCATTACAACGACGACTATCGCTTTGTTTTTGTAGATGTTCTGGTTGCGCTCAAGAGTACAATCTCCACCGTCCGATCATCTTCGACGAGGCCACCGACTTCTTTAACAAACACGGCGTATCTGACTTCACCTTCGATACTTGTAGACTCGTATGTCCTCCTCCTTGTTTACTTTCTCAATTGGGTTTGATTGAGATTTGGCGACTAAAAAGTTTGTCGGCGAAGGTACCTTTTCTGCGACTAATCTGGTCATTTGGTCGCGAAAAGTTTGGGAGGGAATTTGAAACATGGAGGGGGAAAATGAATACCAATTCATAAGAAATGAGATTATCCATTCCCGCTACTGCCATACGGGAATGGCTCTTTTGTTCCTCTTAGTCTCAGGTCGGCCATCGGCCTCTCTCATCAGCTGCCTCGCCGCCCCTCCAGCTCTGCCGCCTCCAAACCCTAACCCAACCGCCTTACCCTCCTTAACCTACGCCCTCCAGTGCCCTCACTTCCAATCGTACGCACCACCACTTCACGTCTCTATTTCTCTACACTTGTCGACTCTCTCGGCATCTCATTACAACGACGACTATCGCTTTGTTTTTGTAGATGTTCTGGTTGCGCTCAAGAGTACAATCTCCACCGTCCGATCATCTTCGACGAGGCCACCGACTTCTTTAACAAACACGGCGTATCTGACTTCACCTTCGATACTTGTAGACTCGTATGTCCTCCTCCTTGTTTACTTTCTCAATTGGGTTTTTTCGTAATTAGGGTTTTGATAACATTTTCGCCCTTTACAATGGGAATGGAGGTGCCGCGCAAAACTCGCAGTTCGGGGCTCATCCACCGACCCTCTGATTGGGCTCTATCAAGAGCGTACTTATAATGTAGTTGATATTCCTGATTGTAAAGGTCCGATACTTGAGTTTTTATGTGATTGTGTACTGAAATGTTTTTTGGTTTGTCTTTGAATTATATTCTAAGGTTCGTGTTCTTGGTTGTACAGCTCACCATCCAAACAAAAAATAAGTTTTGAGAGGAGATATTGGGTAATTCGGTTAACTGGGTTTTGATTTCGTCTTTTCATAACAACTAAATGATTTGGGATTTTACGATGGTTTTAGGGTTTATGTATATATATATATGTTTTGTATTGCAGCAAAAGGTTTCTCTCTTTCTTAATCTTTTCTGACTCTAAATCGTAATGTATAGCTTATTTGTTTCTATTCATTAATTCAGTTTTCACTATTATTGCATTCATTTTGGAAGTTCTCTTCCTCATAGTCATCCATATTGTCTGTTTTATTTATGATTTTTTTTGCAGGTTGCAACAATGTATGCAGTGATGTTAGATACTGATTATATGAACAAACCTACATTCAAAGAGAATTTTATGAATGACTGGAGAAAAATACTTGGGAAAAACCATGTAATTCAGAAGTTGGAAGATTGCGATTTCACCCCAATATATGAATGGCATCAAAGGAAAAAGGAGAAGAAGAAGCAAATGAGTTCAGAAGTAAGTTTATTGCCTACAAACTTTCTGGCTTTGTGATGCAAATTGATACTGGAACTCTAGAGGCTTGATGAGTTTATAAATCTTTAACCAAACAATATTCTCTTACTTTTACTCTGTTTTTGTTTCCAAAAGTTACCATTAACCAATTCTGTTTAGTTTCTGTAGTGTGCTATGCTTGGAAAAATTATGATTTTACTTTCTAATGAACTTTTTATTGAACAACACTTGCTAATGAACTTGATCCCTGACTAAAGTTAAACTTCTCTTTGGTTTGATTCTTGCAATGACGAGGTACTATTATCCATTTTACACTATGGCACCTCTTTACCTACTGGCCTTGGATTTTATGTAAGTTCTTTTCACAGTTTGAATCCATATAATTTTGCTGCCTCTTGTGCTGATTATTATTATTTTTTCTTTCTGATATATATTCCTGTATAAACATAATCGTGACTTTTCAGTTTCTTATCCCATTGTATAAATTATATGAATACATGCATATTGTTATTATTACTTATGTAATGGCTAAATGTTACTGTCTTGTACTTTATGACTGATATACGTGGATATAGATACCCTTTCCGAGGCCTTAAATAAATTGAAAAGATATGATCTTCATATAAATAAGTTTGGGCCCTCTGTTTGCACAACTACTAGTGGTGGTTGGGGTTGAGCAGTTGAACTTTGCTATGAATATTGCTCAACCCATATTTAGATTTCACCACCTGAGCTATGAATCTAGATCACATTGGCCATCCAAATATACCTTCATAACTCCAAATTCAATTCATCAAAAACTGTCGACGGTTTTGTTTTCATCACTTATCCTTATAAAACACCTTGTATGTTGTGTTTCTGGTTCGTAGGACAGTGACTAAGCCACAGTAGTTAATATGTACCATATAAGAATAGAAGAGAACTGTTGTGCGATATGGACACCAGCTCAACTCAGTATTGGATACTGTTGTAACTTTGAACCATGAATTAGTAGCATCTAGTTTTTCTGGAAATCTTATTTTGTATAATCTGCCACAATAGTTTATTTATCCTAACACTTTGGGAATTTCATCCTTTTATGAAAGTAACAATCAATTTCTGTTATCTATCCATGTTGAAAAGTTAGCATCTGGTCACAGACATGAAACTGATCCTTTCTTCTGTCCTAAGTATATGATGGTAAGGGGACCCTTGAGGAAGGGAAAACAGCCGAAGCTTGATTCATCAAGATTCAAGCAGCTTATGAACTGCTCATGGATGTGGAAAAGCGAAGGCAATATGATATTGATAATCGAGTCAACCCCATGAAGGTGAAATTTTGATTATTTTAACAGTTAATATCATATTTTATTATGAGTTGCAAAGTTTCGATTTTGAATTTTGTTGGGGAAAATGTAGGGATTTTTTGACACTAGCCGTTTGTGTCTATTTGTGAAAATTGTATGCCAAAACCTTATCATCTTTCGACAGAGTACATTATGATGCGAAATATGAGATTTTCTCTGGCAACTCATACTAATTCAAAATGTGTATAAAGATCAAATTTATGCCAAAACCTTAATTACTCAAAGACAAAGTCCACAGTGTGCTTGTAAAATTCCTAATTTGTTCCTTTTGTGTTGGAAAGCTTTCCGTAAATAGGTGTTTGTGCTTTGATATAATTAAATGCAAGATGCAGCATCTTCCATTTGGTGTCATCTGTACAAATTCTTTCTTCATGTTCTTTTTAATTTCAAGTTCTTGATGGTTGTGTTCTCTGAATATTATGGTGGCATGTTTTCAATTGAAACAGTTGCTGCTTTCAATATTTTATTTGATTCACTTTAAGCTGTGAGATTATTATGGAGCTGGGAGTCGTGATGCAAGGCCCTGTCATAGTTTGTTATCTTATTTCTTTCTCCTCTGGGCACCTCACTTCACATAGATCCGGTACTGCTTGAAGGTCATATGATAAGTTGAGATCTTGACTGAAGTGATTTGAGTCATTTATTTCTCCACTGAACCTGTATATTGAGTTTTTCTTGTTGCCTCTATTTAGTCAAAAGTTTGTCGATTTCGGATCATAATTTTAAGTTTAACAAAACACATACGTCTAACTCCCACACATTTGAAGTGTAGATTCTTTGGAGGGATGAATTTCTTCTTGTAGAAAACTTTCTTAAATTAAATGTTCCTTTATCTCTTAGTAGTTTCTCATTTTGTTGTGTTTATGGCTATGTTTGTCAGGCATCTCAAGCATGGATGGAGTGGCTTATGAAAAAGCACAAAGCTTTTGACCAGCGGGGTGATATGGCTGTTGCAGCTTGGGCTGAGCAGTAGCAGCGTGAGATGAATCTCCGTGTGCGCCATCTTTCTCGTTCAAAGGTGTTGAATTATTCTCAATATTTCTACAATGATTCGTATATTGCTCTTCAACTCTATAATGATCAATGGAAAGTCCATTACCTAATATAATCCGACTCATTGTGCATAATTATTTTCCAGAATTTGTATATACTGAAATTATGACATAATACAGATAGACTGGGTCCATTACCTAATATAGAGTGATAGTAATCACTCTGTTTGATTAAAGTTTTCGTTTTTTGGAAATTAAAAAAAAAATGTTCCATTTTTTATTTTTGTTTTTGGAAAACAAAGGTGGGTTGTTTTAAGAAAATTTTCTTGAAAACAATTATAAGTAACAATTTTCAAATGTTTATTTTAAACATGGTTTCTTGAATGTTGAGTCATTCGGTGGTTCTTGGGTGAATCTGCTTACTGATGATGATTAACTAGTGAGCAACTGCTTTCTGCTTGGTCGTTTCACTACTAGCCTCAAGCCTTTGAGTTCGTTCCTTCAATTCATGCACAGTATCTAATATTTGGGTTATTTTTCAAGTGATACCTATATTTTAGCATTTTGTGGTTTATGGTAGGATACTATTGAACTTGTTAAGAATTCAAAAGCTAATTACTGTTAGTTTTTCTGTCCATAACAAAAAGAATTGTAGGAATTTGTAAATTAGCAAACTAGTTGCAACCTTGCAATTCTACCAATGTAAATCATCTGTTCCTGTCAAAATGAAATTTATTGACTCTTTTTTTTTTTGCAAGACTAATGGAATGTAGCATTTCAAGAGTCTGAAGAAGCTTCAGTAGTAGTCCAGATAGTAACATTGGGAAGCAATCCAAAATTGGGAAGTCAATTTGATCTATCAAACCTTAGTCAGAAGCTCGAGTTTTCCCCCCTATGAAATCCCAGTACTGTAACTGATATATGTAACTTGTTGTCATAGTCTGATTCCACTGTGCAATTCACTGCACTGTGTAACAAATTTGATGACATAAGAAAGGGTAGCTTGGATCTATTTAAAATTTTGTTCTCTATTTTTTCTGCTGCTGTTAACAATTTTCAACGGACTTCTCGCACATGCTTGGCTCACAGGCTTGTGAAACTATGAATATTGTGTATACCACTTTATATTCTTTTTTTGATAAGTAATCTCTCTTTTATGTTCATACACAAGATGATCCATTCTTGATGTGCTATTGCATTTTTTTTACAAGTAAAAACTATTATATAAAAAGGCACCAAGGGGGCACCACCCAATTCTTGATGTGCTACTGCATTATGAGAAGTTTAATTTCTAGCAAGTGATCAAGTTTGATCATAAACTTTTTAATCATAATTTTTTTAAACCAAGTTATAGAGAAATTCCTGTCATTATTCTTTTTCTTTTATTGAAGACTATTAGTCTATTATATTTCTACGCATCCTTGATCATGTTAAATTTATTTCCTCATCTTCAAATTCTTCAAATTCCTCACTAGCTTTTGGCCTTTTAGTGTCGAATGTTAATGATTCAGTTAATTTGAATGATGCTTTAAAATTATAGGTTTATTATGATTTGAATGAATTATTAGGAATTACAGGTGCATTGTTTTCCTGTTTTGGCGACCAATTTATTAGTCGCGACAAATAAATAATTTTTTTTCGCAAAAAATGACAATTGCCGACCAAGAGTTTTGGTCGCAAAAAATACATCTATTGCCGACCAAAATAGCTCTTGGTCGTGGAAACTCACTTTTGCCGACCAAAAGTTTTGGTCGCGAAAAGTAACAAATGGTGACCACCTTTTTTGGTCGTGGAATGTCATAATTGGCGACCAAATTTTTTGATCGTTGAATGTGATAATTGACGACTAAACTTTTTGGTTGCGAAATGTGTTAATTGGCGACTAAGATATTTGGTCGGGAAAATATCACTTTTCGCGACCAAAGTGTTTTACCGACAAAATGAATTAGTCGCGGTAATTAAATATTTAGCGACTAAAAATTTAGTCGGCAAATCTAACTTTTGCCAACCAACCAAAATTTTGGTCGCGAATTACTTTTGCCGACCGTCAATTGGTGACCAAAGTAGCGACCAAAAAAATTGGTCGCGGATAACTTTTGCCGACCAAAAATAGACTTTTAGCAACCAATTTTTTTGTTGCCAAAAGTGTTAATTCTTGTAGTGGGTATATGCTGATGACCTGTAGAATCATGCGCACACATATCTTAAATGAAATTTGGAAGAAAGTGAGCAAATTTTTTTTTGTTTTTGTTTTCATGTTTCCAACTTAATATCAGAAAAAGCATATTTGAAATAATTATTGGCTGTTGTGAAAGAGAAAGATGCTCACGTTACAACTAATGTGCTTAAAATAAATATATGCTTGAAGTTGCAATCCATTGACATTACATTCCAGTTCCCAGATTCCCTATGATGCAATTTTTTACCTAATCAAATTAATAATGTTATGATCCATTTTCTTCATTCTACTTGTTGCTTCCGTCCTTTTGGTATCAGAGCCATAGTTATGTTGTATCCTGTTCCTAACTGCTTTATTTCTTCCAATTAATCAATTCTGTTGTTTATTTGATTAATCTAGTTTTCAGTTCATCTTAATCACCCATGAGATCGGTCTGTGTTTATCCACCTGGTTTAAGTCACCCACTTTCGTTCTCTGTCCAGAGTAAGTCCTTAGGGTTAGGCAGTGTCGGACATAGGGGTCTCCCGAATAAGGTCTGTACTCAAACCACTTTGGTATGTGATAACATGACTAGTTCTTTAGAACTGTAAAATTTTACAGTTTCATAACATGTCTTTTAATTTTTTTTTTCCTGCAATATTCTAGACATTCCGGTGAGTCTCCGCGCGACCGTTAAACGGAAGTCCGACGGTAGTAAGATGTGAACAGTGTCTATAAATTAAAAAAAAAAAAAAAATTTGGTAACAATTAAAAATGTGTTAGACTAATTGGTACAAGTATTTTATTTTGGGATTAGTTGAATTTTAAACTTGTTACATGGGACTTATCAGTAAGTTCCCTAAATAAAATCTCCCATAATGCAAGTGGAGAGGCCCAAGCTCAGTCTTCGAAGTCTAGCCTCTAAAAGGCCAACCCAACATCCTACCCATAAGCCCATATCCAACACTAAAAATTGACCCATGCTTGTCTTCTCTCTCACTCCAATTCTACAGAGCAAACACACCTCTCTCTCTCTCTCTCTCTCTCTCTCATCGAGCTAGGGTTTATACACAGATTTTTTTCTAGGGTTTGCTAAAATTCAGTATCCGAATCATATATGGACCTAACCAAGAAGCGAAAGCTCGACGAAAATGGCGATTTTCCGGCGAATTCCGATGCCGGAGCGACCCAACTTTCCCTAGAAGACGCTCGCAAGATCTTCGAACCCTTCACTCATTCCCAGCTCCTAGAGATCGCCCTAAACGCCGTCGTTTCACACCCCGACGTCCTCTCCGCCGTCCGATCAATCGCCGATCGTGACCCCTCGCAGCGAAAGCTCTTCATTCGCGGCCTCGGTTGGGACACCACGACGGAGAAGCTTCGATCTCTCTTCTCCGGCTATGGCGATCTCGAAGAGGCCGTGGTGATTCTCGACAAAGCCACAGGGAAGAGTAAAGGCTATGGATTTGTGACTTTCAAGCACGTTGATGGGGCTTTGTTGGCTTTGAAGGAGCCGAGTAAGAAAATCGATGGTCGAATGACTGTTACTCAGCTTGCCTCTGCGGGAGTCCAAGGGGGGCCGATTTTGAACCCTAATTCGGCATCGGATGTGTCGGCGAGGAAGATTTATGTGGCGAATGTGCCGTATGACATGCCGGCGGATCGATTGTTGGCGCATTTTTCAGCCTATGGGGAGATTGAAGAAGGGCCTTTGGGTTTCGATAAGGCGACTGGGAAGTCAAAAGGGTTTGCTTTGTTTGTGTACAAGACAGCTGAGGCTGCCAATGCTTCGCTTGTTGATCCAATTAAGACGATTGATGGACGTCAATTGAGTTGTAAATTGGCAATTGAAGGGAAGAAAGGGAAGCCGGGGATGCCCACAGCCCCAGCGCCCGCCAATGGTGGTGGTCCTGGTGGTTCGTATGGTGGGTTTTCCGGTGGAATACCGGGCGGCCCGCCAATGGGTCATAATCCTCTGAATTCATCAATTGGTGGTGGTGGTGGTGGTTATGGTTCTGGGTTGGGTGGTTCTTATGGTGGTTCTCACTATGGTGGGCCTGGTTCAACTGGGTATGGTGGATTAGGATTGGGTGGCAGTGGTGGCGGTTTGGGCGGTGCCGGTCGTGGTTCTTCATTGTATAGGTTGCCACAAAGCTCAGCTGGGATGCCTTTGAGCGGTTATCCGGAGGGTGGGCAATATAGCTTGTCATCATCTGGATATCCTAGCCAGCACCATCAGACAGCGGGGACATCACCGGTGCCTAGAGTTCCACCTGGGGGAATGTACCAAGGTGGCCTCCCATACTACTGAGGTATCTTTTTATTACTCTCATAATTTAAAATTGGTTTGATTTTGTAGTTTCGAATGCCTCTGTTGCACTTTGATGCTAGAATTTGGTTGCTCTTGCTGTGATTCTGATTGATGGCATGTTGTGGAATGCTATTGCTGCATTTTTATTTTTATTTTTGTTAGGTTATTATTATTATTGTGTTTCTTCAGGGTGGTGTGCAGTCTTCGTGTTTTCTTCTATGATTCGTGCAGTTTCTGGTTATTTTTGTTTTTTATTTTTGTTATGATTGTGTTTCACATGATTTTTTTTTTTTGCGACTAAGGATAGAGTACATAGAGCGTAAATTTATTAACAGTAACAATGGAAGTAGAGAAGCAGTGAAAATTGACAACCAAAAATTGTCTAAGAGTGAACATTTTCATTATTTAGGGTCGATTATGACAACAGCGGGTAGATTAATGTGGGTGTGGCCCATAGGATTAAGGCGGGATGGTGTAAGTGGAGAAGTGCGTCTGGAGTACTGTGCGATAAACGAATACCTACTAGATTTAAAGGTAAATTTTATAGAACGGCTATTAGACCAACGATGTTGTATGAGACAGTGTTGGGCAACCAATAAACCACATGTAGATAAGATGAGTCTGGCTGGGATGAGAATGTTAAGGTAAATGTGTAATAAGGCTAGATAAGATAAAATTAGGAATGAGTGTATTCGGGAATGGGTAGGAGTAGGACTAATAGAAGATAAGTTGAGAAAGAATCGATTAAGGTGGTTTGGTCATATTCAACGTAGATCAACAGAGGCAGTAGTAAAGAAAAGCGATACTGTAAAGGTAGATGGAAGTGTTAGGGGACGGAGTAGGGGTAGGATTAGATTAACGTTGGTTAGCGTTATAAATAGAGATATGGATCTACTCAATTGACTAACGAAATGGCCTTTGATAGGGTCGCATGGAGAAAAAGGATTCATGTAACCGATCCCATTTGATGGGACTTAAGGCAAGGCAAGGCAAGGCTTGGCTTAGTTTGGTTTGTAACTTTGGGTATAACTTGTTCTTACTTGACTTAAAATTTACGAAAATTTCCTTATACTGGACTTGCCAGGGGTGTTTTTTTGGTTGGTCTTGTTGATTTCCTGTGATACCACTGTTCTGGTGGCTCTTTACTCTGCTGTGAAGCTGTTATCGCCATGTAATCTTGCATGTTCATGTTATTTATTGGGGGACTTGCGTTTAAGTCCTAATAGGTGGACTTGTTGTCCAATAGGTCTTGTGAAAATTAATAACATTTTTCATCAAATACTATTAAAAAACGTGTTACTAATTGTTAATTTTCAGCAACGGTTTAAAAATTGTTACAAAAAGTCACTAATTATAAGTTTTAGTGACATTTTAAAATAATCTTCACAAAAAAAGTCACTAATTTTCAACATTCAACGATAGTTTGAAAAATTTATCACTAGAAAATGTCACTAATTGTAAGTTTTAAGGACAATTTATAAAAATCGTGACAAAAAAAGTCATTAATTGTTAATTTTTAGTGATATGTCAATAAATCGTCATAGAAAATTATTCTTAGCGATGATTTACTAAGGCTTATTTTCAATAGAACTTTGAGTTCAACTATTATGACCTATTGGTAGTTTACCTTTATTTATTTGCTGATAAATGCAAAATTCTGGAAGTTTATTTGGTTGTTTATTGGCTTATATGTCCATGACCTGCCTAGTTTGTATCCAAGTTATATTATCTTCTTGTACATATGATTCGTTTATGATAAATGTCTGAATTGGCCAAACCGAATGAAGAATCAGTGAAATAACTGAATCTACCTAAAAAAAAAAAAGAAATCTGTATATTATTTGCATAATAGCTTTGATCCCAATTGGGTATATTGAGGCTATTTGGTGCATCTTATAGAACTGCGTATGGTTTTTTTTTTTTGGAAACAGTTCCAGAATGTTTGATGTTTGATTTTACCGCTTATGAGGTAACTAGTTTAAATAAGTTGATTATTGAGAAGTAAGCAGAGAGGTGCTTTTACCTCATACTTCTTATTATCAGCTTTTAGCTTGCAAAAAACTGCACCAATTGGGCCCATTCCAGATTTGATTAGGTAACTCATGTTAATTATCAAAAAAAATTAAAGATAAATAAAGAATTCCCTGTACTGGCTATGCTTCCTGGTTTATAGTACCTTCTTGTTTACTGTTTTAGTCTCATTTTGTTGGAAGACAGCTTGAATATGGAAATGAAATGATATAGCTGCAAAGGGAAAGTTCTTGAAGTGTATTTGGTAGTTTATTGGAGACCATATATTGAATTGAACTTGGAGTGGAAAAATCATGTCTCTGGTTTAAGAATGAGCTTGTATGATTACAACCTGCCTGAACAGGGAAAACATACTTGATTTTGGATGAGCTTATGTGTCTATGACCTGCCAACTTTGTGCAAGTTATATTTATCTTCTTGTACACATGATTCATTTATGATGGAAAAAATTGATTTAGGAACTGTATTTTGCATAATAGTGGTGATCCAATTGCAAATTGGGTTCAGTCTTAAATTGGTCTGATAATTTGAGTTACTTGTCAAAAATAAAAAATAGTAAATAGGATGGAATCAAGAATTCTCTGAATCGGATAATTTGAAAAGCTATTTTTTGTTTGTTTGTTTGTTTCCCCTTCCCTTTGATGATTTTAAAATGTTACATGGCTTGGAGGCACTTAGATTGTACTTAGACCGTGCATGAAATGGAGCTTCTTCTCATTATAAGTGACTTCAATCAGGATAAAATTTATGTGACAGTAGTTTTATATATATGCATCTATCATTTTTCTTCTTGTTTGATTCTAGGGGATGGTTGTTAAGATTACTAATAAAAGTTTATTTTTAGTGCTTGATCTTCCTGCCCAGCTAAATTTAACTGGTCAGTGAGGGTTTTTGTAGACTACCTTCAATACACCATTTCAAGAATGAACATTGATTTTGAGCTTACTATCCGTCATTGAGTTTTGTAGTTGTAAGTAGGAAACCTCTCATAAAAAATATAAAAAGTTGCAAGTAGGAAACCCTTCTTTAGTGATTTTATTATGTTTTCTTTATTCTGTTCTATCATGGCTGTGTTGTGCATGTCGGGCATGTGCAATTGGCTGCCTTTAAGCATGCTGAATGGCTCAGAGATACTAAATTCTTACATTACATCTTAGAGTGTAACTCTAGCAGGACAACATTTTCCTAGGGTGTATTTGATTTCAGATTGGCATGAAGGTTGTTCGGCTAAATAATCTATAATCGTCAGCTATGAGGTCTTCTCTTCAGTGAGTTTATGTTTTAAATAGTTGAACTTAAGTTTTTAAATTTAATACTAACCCAGAGAAGCTGTCTTCTTTCTTTCCTCCTATCCTCTTCTCTTCCCCTTCTTTATTCATGTCATTCTTATTTTTAATAACTTATGTGTTGTAATATATTGTGGATTTCAGCAGATTGGACTGGTAAGCAATTTCTTGGAATTGTGGTATGATTTGTATAATTATTTTTATCTCTTTATAATCAAATATTAGTGTTGTTTCTGTTTTCATTTCTTTGATTTGTGCATGTACACTCAAATGCCATCACCAGTGTTTGCTAAAATGCATTGACATTTTTGTATTTGGGGCCAAGAGCTTATATTTTGATTTCTGTTTTTGTGTTGTACGTGTAGATTTTGCTTTGATTTATTTATTTATGTCCAAACATTGCAGCTGGTGTTCATTTCTTCATAAATGAATCACATTTTGATACCTGGGTCCTTTGATCAAACGTTATGATTTTAAATTCTATTGTTACTCCGTAATTATTGTTTTGGTGGGTAATATTATGTCTTTCATTAAATGACAACCTAATCTTGAGTGGCTCCATTGCCCTTCAATGTAAACTCTTATATTTTGGTAAGATGTTTGTGGTGCTATGCTTGCCTGGTAGTTTTTTTTCTATGGATGTTTGATTTGACTTCTGTTCAGGTTAATGTCTTGTGTAAAAACATATTGTGATTTTTTAATTCTACATGTGTCCAAGGAATGTCTTAACCTTTTTGACTATTTGCTTTTTGGCTAGCATGACATCTGTTTGCTTGTTGGATGTAGATTGATGAATTGAGTTTTCAATGGGTTCAGGTGTATGACAGCTTGTTGGGCACAGTTGCTTTTAGTGGTTCTGGTGATTTCGTGAATGCAGACAATTTGAACTCTGGCTTGATGAATTTGATTGGCTGTACTTTGGCACTTCTTCACTTCATCTGCTCCTTAAGATGTGGGTCCTTTATGATTGCTGGTAGTTTAGTTAGACAGTCTGTGTACTTTTTTTCTCAGGAACCCATATGTCATCTGTGCTCTTTTATTATAAATGTTAATGTTATAGGTGTTGAGACATTATTTGCCTTTCTTGAAATTTCTTTCGTTTTCTTGCTTCTAATGATCTATTAAATGCTTGATATTTTTCCATTCATGGTTGGAATGACTTTGTATGTGTTTGTAATTACTTCTTGTTTTTAGGTTCACTGACAAGATCGCTATATTTATTAAGGAAATATACATACATTAATGTAGTTTACAAGCATGCAAGTAAAATTATGTATACATATGCATGTATAGGTGTCACTTGGATCTCTGTTTGTTGGCTATGGGTGAAGAAGAATTTAGGGAGGGAAAGCCCCCCCTACTTGGAAGCTTTTGGATTTGTTGGATAGATGGATTCTTTTGTTTTTGTTTTTTCTTTTTAATGTTTTATACATGGTTTGTGTTGTGGCCCCCTTTAGGTGCGTTGAAGGCTTGAATGGAATATATTTATACATTGAAACAAAAAGATAAGAAATCAGGAGTTAAGAAACTAGTGCTTCCGCCAAACAATTTGGATAAATTATATTATGTTTGTATCGTGGACGAGATAGGAGTCTATATTTTGTGGCTATGTGGAAATCTTGTAGGTTGGATGTCATTTATTCTGGTTGAATATTCTCCTCTCAAATTTGTTGGCACTCATTTGACCTCGGTTAACTTTTTTGTCTGGTTGTGTGCCTCTAATCAAATCATTGTTCTAGGCATGACTCCAATCTGTGTTTGTTTGTGGGCCTGCCAACTTCTGCTGACGAGTTTTTTAGGGAGATAGTGGTTTTCTTTTTTATTTACTTATTTATTGAATCTGATGTAAGGTAATGTAATAGTACACACAGGACGTCCTTGAATTGTGAACAACCCAACTTCCATCCTAAAAAAAAGAAAATAAATTGCAAGAGGAAAAGGAGGAGACATAAAAGATGGAAATCTACTTATCAAAAAATAGAAATAGAACATTGAAAACATTTTTTTAGATAATTCTCTGCAATGCTACCCTGAGTGGGAAGGTCATCCCTACAACTTCATTTGTAGTCGACCTGATATGCACACCACCATATATCTGACATGGGAATGTTTTCCTTTATAAAGACGGTGTGGTGACCTCAATAGTGACCTACAAATGGTGTGATCTGGTGTATTGTGCTCAAGCCTAACAGATTAGCTTTTTATATCACTTTGGGTGGTTTGTCCGTTTTCCTAATTGTTGTGGTTGTTCATGTTGCATCTAATTGTCTCTGGAAACATCTATTCTCTTTTGTAAATAGTGAATTTTGCACATTCAATACGATTATTATAGACAATGAATGGTTAGTAAGATAAATATAATAGTTTTGTACCAATAGCAATTATACTTCTCTATGCTATTTTGGAGTGTGCATGGAGGTAAGAATGGTGCTGATTGCTAGTCCTGCAACATGCAATCTGCTTAGTATTTCTTCCCAAGTTGGGGCCTTTATTGTGAGCATTCTCTTCAATTTGGTAATTTCTTGAACAAAAGGAATCAGATTTTATTTGTGGCAATTATGGTTGGTTTGATGCCCTATAAGGTGGAAAGAAGTGCTATCTTGATTGTGTTTGAGAAATTTTTTGAGGTGAATTTTGTTTGGAAAGCCGTGTATTTTTAGGCTATTTTTCTTTCAATGGCACTGGATTTCTGAATTTGTTGGTCTTTTGTGTTGTTTTAATTGCAGTTTATATGAGAGTGATTCTGGGACGCTGTTTATTATTAGATAATCTCATTGAACGAGTTGCTTCTTTTTCATTGCCGAGGTTGATTTGTATAGTATATTAGGCCATTTCTCTTTAGGAAAAACAGAAGTAAAGTTAAGAATATGGCATTCACTGTCCTATCCTACCCTCTTGTACAATTTCACGTCTTCCTGCTTTTAAGTAGATTATTGTTCGTTGTGGTAAAACTTAAGTACATGCTATATAAGTTTGGATCATGGATGTGTTTTGACTTTTCCTTTCTCTCTAGAAATCCCTACCTAAACGCAGTTGTTGTTTCTGTGTTGTAGAACAGTGAATACTGGCCTGGATAATGAAATATTTCTAAGGTCATTCATAAGGTCGGTTAAAATGCATCCATGAATCTACTTGTTAATTTCTGTGCTTACAGAGAATTCGTGCCCTGTATATATTTGCTTAGATCTTATGTACCCTTTGTGTTTGTGTACCAAAACTAGCCTTTCTAGAAAAATCTGAAAATTATGAGAAATTGTTTGAATGATTGTGTGTCAAGTTGGCTCTTGGAAGTAGCGGTTGCAGCGGGTGGTTTGCCTATCCAGCTCTCTCCTGTCTTTTACTTTGTGGTAAGGCTGAATTTACGAAAGTCTAATCTCTGGCAAACCAAAAGAACCGGGAGCCTCAGCAAGGATATATTATGGGAATGCAGTACTCTCTTTCCATGTTATTGAAAGGCATGGAGCACTTTCTTCTGAGCGAAGTGGTTTTTGTGACTTGTTGAATCAATATCGACCTCTATGTTGACTTGGCGTTGCCATGATTTGTTTATGCATGAGGGATGATTCAACATTAAATTTGCTTTGAATTCAAGACGGAGACCACGACAGCTTCACTTGCTGACAATTGATGGTCATCACTTGTACACTGGATCTTGGCATCACTTGTAAACTGGTTCTTGGCAGGAGAAAGGTGAAGCCCCCGAATAATGACCAAATGAGGTTGCTGCTGGTACCTCCACCACTGCTGCCACTGGGTTATTGAAGTCATTATGCCGCTGGAAGGTGTGCTGAGTCTCTCCTTGGTTTGATGTGTACTTATTATTGGTTAGGGCTGTGCAAAAAATTGAAAAAATTGCAAATTGGTTTAATCCAAGGCCAAATTGTGGTTTTATAGTTATTGTTTCAGTTTAGAACCAATTTGGACTATTTATATATATAATATATATTGTTACTTCAGATATTGAAGTACCTGATTAGTATTTAAGTTTTGTTCGGTGTGTTTTTGTAGAGCTGTAGAAGTAGTTTTAAATATTCATTTTTTGAGCACATTGTGGATAATATTTTGTAATCATGTTATGAATGATCACAAGGTTTTTAACAACGTGGTTGTAAATCAAATTGAACCGCAATATATTGGTTTGGTTTGGTTTGATTTTAGGATTTTTAAGATTTTGATTTGGTTCCAAATGAAATGGTAGGTAGTGATTTGGTTCTTGATTTATTTCTGAATTGAATCAAACCGTTACAATGTGTTCACTCCTAATGGGGAGAATGGTGCTACCCGACTCCTTGGTGGAAGCAGAGTTGAGTATGGTTTGGATTGGTTTAGGATTAAATCAATGACCAAATCATTATTTACCGTGCTATGAAATTTGAATCCATACTAAATCATGTAAATCAAGTCTTATAACTAAATAAAATTGAACCAAAACAACATGATTCAGTTTGGAATTATGATTTTTAAAAAACTAGTCATCTTTCAAAATATAATCAGAAAATATTATTCTCAACTTAAGAATTGTTTAGATGATTGTTTTGAATTAATTTTATCACTATACAATGACATGGTTGCTACATTAGGGTTACAACTTGTGTATATAAACATTTGATAGATATTTGAGTATTGGAGAAGATTATGGTACACTTTATATGTACCTTATAACTAGAAAATTTGTCATTAAATAAGAAAATTGTGTAACTAAAGGTGCAAATGATTTGTGGGTGTATATAGTAAAAGGAAAATGTCTCGTAACTCAAATTGTGGCTCAAAAGTGGCTCAAATGGCCAAAACGACGTCGTTTTGGACATTTTATGTTGTTCTGTACTCAAAACGACGTCATTTTGGCCATTTGAGCCACTTTTGAGCCACAAAATTTGAGCTACGTAGCATTGTCGATAATAAAATACTCCTTGAGTATTTACTACAAGAACAAATTATAGACGTATATATCTAATTTTGTTTCAATTCCAAACAAGATCTGGAACTATAAAATCATTACTGTGTTTGGTTTAATTTTTTGGATTCAATTTTTTAGAAATTGAGTTTTTTTATTTTTTTTGTTTTTATTTTTTATTTTTAGTAAATATTTTTAAAATTTTAATCAAGTTTTTTTATTTTTTTAGATGTATCTTACTTAAATGTATATAAAAAGTAAAATATTTGTAAAAAAAATTAATAAATATACAAGAATATGAAAAATGTATTGAATTTTTATTTGGATGAATTACACAAATAGTCCGTATAGTTTGGGGTTTGTGTCACTTTGATTCCTGGCTTTTCAATTATGACGCATTTAACCCTGAATTTTGAATCTTGTTTCAAATAAGGACAATTGAAGATATTATTAGATTTTTCAAGGGTAAAATCAGCAATTTGATAAAATATAAACTAATTTGACAAAAATAAATGTCGAACAAATATTTTTGAATTTTTAAAAATTATTTCTACCCACTAAAAATAAAATTATGTAAAATTGATAAATCTTTCAGACATTTATTTTTTTTTTACCAAATTAATTTTTATTATGTGTTTGGATGATGATCATGTAAAATTAATTTTTAAAAATTAATCATGTAATTTTTATTAATTTTTATCAATTTTATATAATTTTATCATTGGTGGATAAAAATAATTTTTAAAAATTAAAAATATTTGTTTGACATTTATTTTTGTCAAATTAATTTATATTTTATTAAGTTGACGATTTTGTCATTGAAATTAAATAATGGTATTTTCAATTGTCATTATTTGGAACAAGATTCAAAATTCATGATCAAATGTGTCACAATTGAAAAGTCAAGGACCAAAGTAACACGAGTCTCAAACTATAAGGACTGTTAGTGTAATTTGCACTCTTTATTTTTATTTTTGTATTTTTGGTATTTAATAATGAAATTTCTTTTAAAAGTATTCACAAATGTCATACTTTTTAAGTGCATTTATTTTAAATGTATCTAAAAATTTTAAAAAAATTACTTAAAATATTAAAAAAATTCAGTAAAAACAAAAAATAAAACTATAAAAATTAAAAAAATTTAATTATTTGAAAAGTGAGTTCGAAAAACTCAAACCAAACAATGTGATTGGTATTTTAAAACCTTTAGCATTTTTGTTTTTTTTAAGAACTAGGATATCTTTTGTACTTTTTTTCCCCTTTCATTCAATTTATTTGTATAATAAAATATTTCTCCTTTCAGCTATAATCTGTACTCTCTCATCTATATTTTACAGCTCCCATATCTTTTTTCCTCGTCTTGCGTCGGAAATCAATTAATGCCAGTGAAAATAGACTGGGCAATGACAAGCCAAAGGCCTCATTTGGAAATAATTTATTTTAGTAATTTTTTAACTTTTTATCAAAAGATATATAGAAAAGTAAAGAGAATGATGTGATAATTTATAGTAATTTTTTAATTTTTTAACTAAAATATGTAATTATCAAACGAGACCTTAAAATTTAAAGAAATTATGCTGCTTCTTCTTCTCCTTTTTTTTTTTTTCTTCCTTCTTTTTTAAAATTATTATTATTATGATTTCAACAAAATTCTGAATTAACCAGCTATCTCAAGAACACAGGCTTGATAAGTCCCATTTATTTAATGATTCATTTAATTAGTATATATTTACACGGTGGTGTTACATATATCAATTAATATATTAACTAATGTACCAATACTAGTTATGGAGAAATTTTTGTATGCCAATAGGGTACCATGTAGCACTACTTTTTACTAATCACAAATGTATATGCCTACTATTATTTCTCAAACACTCAACATAAATGTAGTGAACTCTACTGTCAAAGGCAATCACAATAGTAGAAGATACCACATGACATGTACCTTATCCTCATACAAAAATTTCTCTTAATTATAGCATTATTATTAACTTCACTCATTATACAAATTATAAATATCAAAAATCTCTTAAATTATGTCACATCATCAATTGGTATACTAATAAATAAATATAATATTATTCATATTTAAAAGCTAACACAACATTATTGGTATGTCAATTGAATGTGGTAACATTAAAATCGGATTCTTTGCAAAATTAAAGAACAAAGAAGGGGGTGAAATAAAATTGAAAGAAGGGAAAAAAATAAAATTGATTGCGTCGCAGAGGAAAAACTTTTTGTTAACTAATTTAATTCTAGTTCATGAAATAAATTATTAATCTCTATATAATGTGCATGACCACACTTAATTTTCCATTGTTAAATTTATCAAATTAATCAAATTTCGGCACTGTTTGGGAAGCAAAACTTGGGCTAAATTAGCCACGTCCGGACAAATTAGGCTTATTTAGCCACATGGAGACAAAACTGCATTCACGGGTACGTTTGAAACCCTTATTGGGGTAAGTTTACCAAAACACCCTGAAGAGATCCCTCTGATTCTGAGGGACAATGCCTCATCACACACACAACCTTCCCAAACGGCACACAACAAGCGAAATAGGCGATTCATGTATACCAGAGGCGACGACGACATCTGAACCAGCTTCGCAGTGGCGATCGGCACCGGAGTACACATCCGCGGCGGCGAACAAGAACCTACCCTCTCAAACACAAACCGATCTGCAGGTAATGCTTTATGGCCTAACTGATTTCATTTCCCTTTTCGCGTCTGTGTGGCCCCTACTTTCGATCTGCATAGTATGGGTTCATAACGGGTTGGGTTCATGACTGATCTGTTTGTTTACCGTCGTGATTGGGTTGATTACGGTTACATTTCACACATTTGGAACAGATATATATATATATCTGTGAAAAATTATATATCTATTCTTATATTAAACACTGTAAATCTGTTCGGTTAGGGTTGATTACGGTTATATTTCACACATTTGGGGCAGATATATATATATATATATTAATATATATCTGTTCTTATTTATATATCTGTTCTTATATGAAAATCTGTAAAATCTATCATATTTGGGTTCATTACTGTTACATTTCACACATTTGGGGCAGATATATATATATATATATATATTAATATATATCTGTTCTTATTTATATACCTGTTCTTATATGAAAATCTATAAAATCTGTTCGGTTTGAGTTCATTACGGTTACATTTCACACATTTGGGGCAGATATATATCTGTTCTTATATATAAATCTGTTCGGTTTAAAGGCAAATATATGTATTTGTTCTTATATTTTCATGTAGATCAACCCATGGTAAAGATTAAAAAACAGTCAGCATATGAAAAATAAAAATAACCTGTTCTATTCAAAACAGTTTGTTCTACATTTCTTTTTTTTTCCTTATAATTCACATTACAAATTATCAATTTCAGATCACAATTTCAAATTTATGTATACAACTGCTGACTGATGACATCAATTCTGTGAATGAATATCAATTTATGTTACAAAATTCGTTTTAGTCAACATTGGTAATTTGATTACTTATCACTGTCATGATAAACTTCATTTATGATCTGTGAATTGCCTATTGATCATTTATGAAATGGTCTGTCAATGAATAAGGAAAACACATGATTTGAATGGGTTCTATCATTTTTGAGTCAATGTTGGAGACGATGTCTCCATCTATGAAATACCTATTGATTTATTATTAAGTGAATTACCTATTGATTTGTCAATTCTGAAGAGAATGTCTCCATCTCTCTTCCAAAAAACACTCCTCACAAGTAGTCTTGATTCTTAGACGGTCACATTTTTGGGTTGTCCTTATTCAACTTCACTTCTTCAAACACTGTTACCTTCATTATGTTACATTCGGATAAAACCCTCTACTTTCTTTATTCATATCTGTCTTCATTGAAAGCTGAATGGGTTACCAGTTGAATATAACTCTTTCTCAGTTGATCTAGTCTAAGTATATATAAATTAAGTCTAATTTATATATAAAAGTAAGTCTAAGTATACTTTTTTCATTAAAAAAAGTAAGTCTAATTTGTGTATGCATGTGCAGACAAACTTTAATCTTCAAAATTATTGATATCAATAGACTATTCGGAAATTTCAAAAAACATCATAAGATAATAATAATAATAATAAGTAGGAATAAAGTAATAATATAATTTGATCATGAATTCTTCATCTTAGTTATGTAAACACACGGTGTTCATGCCCTGTCGTTATGTTAATTGAAATCTAAATTTACCAAATTACATATTTACCTTTCTATTACCATCTTCATAGTGAAACCATGAGAATGTAGGCTGCTTTTCTTTAAAATAAACGGAAGGAAGTTGACAGTTTGTATACCTATCCATTGAAACATGTGCATCATCGTATTCAGATAATATTTAACCTGATAGACAGATAACATAAACTAATTACTTACATGATTCATTGTCACTTCCGAATGTTTGTAAATCATAGCATGGCTTCGTTTACCTTTGCTGCAACTTCCAATACATGGCCACGACGAATGTGTGCCTGTGGACATGGCCCCTGTATTGTTAAGATTTTCAGGTTCGCCAAAAAATCCAGGCCGTCCCTATTATGTATGTCTCTATCCTGTGGTGAGTCACCCATTCTTTACCAGTCATAACTGTATGAACATTAACAACCCATTGACTAATAGTTCCATCATTTACACTGATCAACCATGTGTCAGTTGGATTGGTTGGTGCGAAAAACCAAGGCGAGAGAACCAAGACTATGCGTCACCCAGAGACGAACTTGTCATGCAATTGCGGGCTGATGTCATAGACATTCAACAATCCTTGCATGTCCTTAAGACCATTGTGTATGTACTATGCATTGTCATTGTCATTTTGTTGTTCCGTAGGTAAGAAACGTTGTCAGTATGTACAAACACGTTAAGACGTTGTTAGTATGTTGGTAGTATGTTCTAGTATGACTTTAAGCTGCCTTTGCCTTTGTTAGTACGAAACGGTCGACGTATTAATGACTATCATAACTATGTCCACTACTTAGTTCCATGGAACCTGTGTACGTATGTTATTACTGTGCAATGGTTATATGTTCCCTAATTTAGCATCCTATCTCTCTGTTTCTTGTTATTAATGTGTAATGGCTTATGCGTTTATATATAACAACCGAATTTGTGATGGTAATCTTCTGTAACCATACATTAGTAATGGCTTCCATACGTACTTCTCCGCTTACCCAATCGAAAAGCAAAGGCATTGTCACTGACAAGTCAAGCAGTCTTGAAGAGACACATCAGTTCAGCCACAAGGCCTCATGGGACAGTGACTCAATTCGAGTTTTCCTGCAGTTGATTGCAAATGAGATTACTAAAGGAAAATCGCCGATTCCTGGTCCTCAGCCAAGCAGGGTACAAGTCCTTGGCAAGGAAATTTGAGAAAAAAACAGAAAGAAAACATGGACTGAAATAGTTGAAGAATAAGTACATGAGTTTGAAAAAAAAGTGGCAAGCGTGGAAAAAGTTGATGGATTCAGGCAAAGGAGTGTCAAGGATAGGGTTTGACTGTGACATCGGTCTGTTTCAGGCACCTAAGGAGTGGTGGGACAAGGTGGAATCGGTAAGTACATGTACAAACAAGTTTCATATTTGTCATTTACCAGTACATTTTTAACTTTTGTAGTTAACTTTTAATTAATTATATGAAATGTAACGTCATTCTCTTTCATATATCTCTATTTCTGCAGATAAACAAGGTGTGTGCCAAGTTCAGGAAAAAAACCTTGGAACATCGTGAGTTGATGGAGACGGTTTTCATGGGGGCATCAGCTACTGGTAAGCACCATTGGACCCCGGGAGAGAAACTTCCTGAAGCTGCTGATGACTCATCTGATTCAGTGCATAGTTTGAGAGCCCAGCCATTTGCTGATCCGATACCCGCAGGAGTACAGGACGTGGATTCAAATTCTTCACTGGAGCATGTTCCGATTGAAAATGGGAAAAGGAGAAAGACGCCATCAACAAGTGTTTCAAAGTTGAAGAAGGCAACAAGTGGAGCGTCAGTTATTGCGGAAAGCATGAACAATCTGACAGATGTGGAGTGTACGAAGAATCAGTAGGTTACGGTGAGGCACCTCACAGGCAACGAATCGCTGTACACTATTTCGAAGTGCATGCATCGCCTGACGAGTATTCCATCCCTGGTTGGTACGCCGTTATTCCACTTCGCCTCGACACTTATGGATAATACTGATTTGCGGGAGGTGATGATATGCCAGCCTAATGACGACTCTATCGTAGGGTGGCTTACACAAAAGTAGCTCTAGTGTACTGCGTCGGCGCCTTTTGCAAACCTGTTTGGGTCTCGCCGGATGTGATCTAGCGGTGTTATGAGTGTTGAAGATGCCTGTCCTTTTCTTGCATTATGAAAACTTTTACTTATGTTATTATTGGCACTGTATTAAAACAGGATGGTTGTGTGTGCATGCTTTTATTCCTTCATTTTTGTTTTTTTCTTGCTACCTATGGTGAACAAAACTTTTAGTTTAGTGCATGGGTTGACGGAATGGAAGCATGGTTGTGCATGCTTTTTGGGAAATGAATGAGATGCTTCTGTTTAAATTAAATGTATGGCTATTTTTAAGACAGACAACGATGGATTTGTTTGCTAGCTTTTGTATGTCTATATTTTGCAAATTTAGCTGTTAGTTTACTTTGACATCAACTTTTGTGGATGCTACCACCATGGTCCCCCTATAAATGAAAGTTGAACAAGTTTACAATTTGTGCAATTCATATCATCATGCGTTACTAATGACATTGGTGACGACATTACTTATATTAAAAACAATGTCGGCATTTTTTAATTGCAATTGTTGAAATAATTTGAGTCAATGAAAGGGAAAGCAAACTGATTGAAAGAGTGCCACTCTTGTAGGTCTTGGATTTCAACGAAGACGTAATGAATCCCTGGGATGGAAGCAACAATGACGGAATTGTAGGTCTTGGATTTCAACGAAAACGTAATGAATCCCTGGGATGGAAGCAACAATGACGGAATAAGGAAAATGCTTAATCAAATGGCGGTCTAGGTGCAACAAGAACACAACTGCACATTTCTAGAAGCATGCCAGTATGCGATAGAATGGTACGAAAAACACATGGCTAAAACGCTATGTCGCACTTCTATACTGGCCGGGAATGCATGGATATCCAAACTATATACGGGCCATGTGGGCCGATTTGAGGAAAATGTTTGCATGCCGAAGGAAGTTTTTGTCGCCTTATGTGAGACATTAGTAAATGATTTTGGGTTACAAGTCCCGCAACGTCCACATGGCTTAGCTGTTGAAGAAAGTGTTGCAATGTTTATCCATGTGTTATTGGGAAATCCATGAACGGTTCTAACATTCGGGGGAGACTGTGTCTCGGCACGTGCATAACGTATTAATTTCCATGAAAGAGTTCACTGTTGTTCATTGCCGGCCCACATACAGTCAGCATCGTATACATCCATACGTGCGGTTTAGACGGAAATACCTGCCGTTCAAGGTACTACTGAAAAACATTATTGACATATAAATAAAGAGTGTCTGTAGGACTGCATTGGGGCAATAGACGGAACACATGTAAGTGCATGGGTTACAGGGCCAGATACGGCAACATATTTAGGTAGGAAATACTGTCACAAGCAAAATATCATGATCGCGGTCGATTTTGACATGTGTTTCATATTCATTTCATATTCAAGTATGCATGATAGTCACATATTCAACGAGATACTAACAAATGACAATGTCCCATTCCCACATCCTGACGAAGGTAACACCCTACTTTGAATTAGATTTATGGGGCTATAATTTTTTCTGAAACACTTGAAAATGAAGCACAATGTTTGGTTTTGGTGTCATACATTGTTGTCCTGTCTGCAGACAAATATTATCTTGTCAATTCTGGCTATTCAAACCGGATAGGTTACTTAGCATCATTCAAAGGCAACCGTTACCACCAACAAGAATTCTGACGTATTCCACGGAACACGACTGCAAACACGCCAAGAGAATTATTTAACAAAGTTCACTCGTCCTTACGAAGTGTGATGGAACGCATTTTCGGTGCCTGGAAAAATCAATGGGGGTTTATTCGAGACATGCCTCGGTATGACTTTGCAAATGTGCAAGTTCAGTTAGTAGGTGCGTCAATGGCATTACATAATTATATACGGCGAAACACAGGTAATCCAACAACTGTTCACCCAATCTGTGACGAGGAAGAGGCTCTGACAATAGTAAATGCCATACCAGAAGTTGAACATGACGAGGATGGTTTAATGGTTGGGGATAAGGACCCGCATATGGCATTGGTGCGCCTTCGCATACGCGACAAATTATGTTACATGCGTAATAACGGAATGTTAGGAAATACATAATAGTCGACCTAATTTTCATAGGGTTGTAACATTGGTAACACACGTGGAACAGACTGTATTCAAATATATTATCATGTATCAGTAGACTGTGTTTACACGGAAATATACCTCCTTTCTGTTTCTGACGTGCCTAATTTTGGAAAACCAAAAACCACATAAAAAATCATTTTCGAAAAAGAAAACAAGGTGAAACAAATAAGAAAAAAAAAAACAACTAATATAGAAATTATCATGTGTGACATCAATTCAAAACATAAAAACACAAGTTGAAAACTACAAAAAAACCAAAACAAACCCTCATTTTTTGTCCTGTGCCATGGCAATATATGATTTTCCACATCATTTTAAATAAATGACATAAAAAAACGTTTTTCCAAACAAAAAAACCAACCGAAATTAGCATTTGCCACGTAATTTACAAATAAATAAAACACATGAAAACCCATTTGTAAAATATAAAAACAAATTAATGTATACAAATTAAAAACAATTACAGAAACGTAAATTTAAAAAAGAAGAACGACAAACATAGGCCTCATCCAAAAAAAAAAAAGGAAAAAAAAAACAGAAATTAGCATTTGCCACGTCATTTACAAATAAATAAAACACATGAAAATCTATTTTTGTAATATGAAAACAAATTAATGTGAGTGAATAAAAAAATGACAAAATCGTAAATTTAAAAAAAAACAACGACAAAAATACGCCTCATTCAAAAACATTTAAAAAAAAAACATGAAAACATAAATTACCATTCCCCACGTAATTTACAAATAAATAAAACACAAAAAAAAAGTTATTGTATACCAATAAAAATAAAGAAGGCAAAAAACGTAAATTAAAGAACAAGAACTAATTAATGTATAAAAAAAAAAGACAAAAACATAAATTTTTAAAAAAAAATTTAAGCAAAATACGCCAAATCCAAACCCAAAATAAAAAAATAAAAAAAAATTTAAGCAAAATATGCCAAATCCAAACCCAAAATAAAAAAATAAAAACAAAAAAAAATGTAAGCAAAATAAGCCAAATCCAAACCCAAAATAAAAAAAATAAAAAAATTTAAGCAAAATGCGCCAAATCCAAACCCAAAACACAAAAACAAAAAAATAAAAAAAATTTAAGCAAAATACGCCAAATCCAAACCCAAAATAAAAAAATAACTTTTTTTAAAACAAAATACGCCAAATCCAAACCCAAAATAAAAAAAAAAAACAAAAAAAATGTAAGCAAAATACGCCAAATCCAAACCCAAAAAAAAATTTAAAAAAAAAAATTTAAGCAAAATACGCCAAATCCAAACCAAAAAAATAAAAAATAAAAAAGTAAAAAAAAATTTAAGCAAAATACGCCAAATCCAAACCCAAAATAAAAAAAATAAAAAAAATGTAAGCAAAATACGTCAAATCCAAACCCAAAATAAAAAAAATAAAAAATTTAAGCAAAATACGCCAAATCCAAACCGAAAATAAAAAAAAAAATAAAAAATTTAAGCAAATTATGCCAAATCCAAACCCAAAATAAAAAAAATTAAAAAAAGCCAAAAAGGGTAGTTTGGTAATTTAACAGGAAGACACCTCACCAAAAATTCAAAAAAATCTTCTCAAATTAGACTTTTTAACCCCGAATTAAAATAGCTAAAAAAATCAAAAAAATCAAAAAGCTAATCGACTTTACAAACGGAGGCGTCATGAAACTTTGATATAAATGTGGGATTGTGTTAAAATAAACTGAGACACTAAAGTTTAAAATTAATAGGTATTTATTAATTTGATAAACATTTATTAAAATTATTTAATTCAATTTTGAATTTTACTTCTTTTTTGTTTTTGTTTTGAAAAATGCTATTGATCTCAAATAATTTATCAAAGCTCTCTGAGACCCACACAAACTCACATGTATGCGGGTCTCACACCTATGTGAGAGTTTTGATATAAAATTTGGTAGATTATTTAGGGTCCTTAGCATAACTTTTTATTTTTTTACTTTTCAAGTATTTTGAGACTAAAAAAATAAAATAAAAATTGGTTCAGACCTAGATAAAAAATAGTCTACTAAAGATGGTTTTCTTGAGTTTTTTAATAATTTGTTTTTGTCATTATTTTTTTTATATTTTAAATTTGATCACTTTTTATTTTATTTTATATATATTAAACTAGCTCTTGACACATGCAATGCACGCACTATTTTTTTTCAAACTATTTTTTTCAAAAAATATTTGATAGTACAATGTGTGTTATAAAAGAATAATTTTAATTTTAATTTAAAATTAAAACTAAAATTAAAGTATGATTTTAATTATTTATTTTGATAATATTAATGCTATCTTTCTATAAAATTGTTACTTAAATACTTATATATATTAATTTTAGTTAAATTATTTGTGTATTTTGATAATTTTAATTTTATTGTATTATAAAAGTGTAATTATCATATAATAATTTTGTATTAGAAATTATATAAAATTTATTTAAAAATTAAATATAAATATGTTGTAGTTGAATTATCATATAATGATTTTATATGATATATATAGATATATATATATATATATATTAAATTATACGATTATAAAATAAACACTCTTAATTAAATTAGCATATCAACTATATAAAAGAAATTTTTAACCAAGAAATAATCACATAATAACATCTAAACTAAAAAAGAAAAAATTAGTATAATTTAAATTGATATTGGGTATAGAGAGTCCATATAAAATAGGTAAAATTAATTTAATTTATATTAAGTTTGAGTTTGTATAGATCTATATGTAATTAAAAAAATAAATGCTGATGTGGTTTTCTTAAGAAAAAAGTTAAGTCTTTATAATGCACCACTTGAGCATAAAAAAAACATTACTTTTAATCATGTATATATATGATTTCTAAGGGTTTTAGATTAGAAGAACCCTAGTTTTATATATTAGAGAAGATATAAAAAAGAATCAAAATTAAAAAAATTAACTAAAAAGAAAGCTATTATTAAAGAATAAATACGAAAGTTATACTTCTTAGTAATAAATAGGGTAAATTAGCTATTTTTTTTGAGAGAGATGAAAAGTAATTATATTAAGATAAAACAAATAAGTAAAATAAAAATAATAAGACCTTAAAGGGTCAAGTAAATAACCAAACAACAAAACAATAAATAACAAACAACAAAAATAAATTTGTCAAAAAGTCATGCACGATTTAAGAAAAATTATCAATCTTCTCATAGATGTGATTTAAAAAGCTAGATCTGCATCAACCCAAGATCTACAACAACACCTACCGTCTGCGTTGTTGTTGTCTAACTTTGCTACCACCGTTACTGTAGTTTGGACATCACCAAAAGCTGGAGTTAAAGAGGAAGAACACCTATGATGGTATGAGAGAAGGCTTGAGAGAAAATAGAACTATTGTAAGTGTCGAAAAATTAAAAATTTATGTCAAAATCGAGAAAGAAATACTCAAAAACCCTATTTTAGATTAAAAAAAGTCTATATTTACACTCTAAAAATACAAATTTATACTCTAAAAGTGTAGCTATACATTTTAGAGGTATAAAGGAAATGGCCGAAGCTTCATCGAAAATCTCTAGATAAAGAGCCTTTCACTGTACACTCTTTCTCTACGGAGCCTCTATTGGTAAATTACACTCTTAATAAGTTTTATAAAAGTACAATTAATTTTACATTTTTAACATAGTTATATTGATTTTTATTTAGGAAGGTTAAAATAAATAAAATTAGTGCAAATAATAGACATACACTAAAATAAATAAAGATAAATACATATTTTAGTAGAAAATAAATGATAACACTATTTTTTTTCTTCATACGACTAACGAACTATTGCAGAAAAATTATCTTTATTATATGAATTAAACTTTAAAGGATGTCTATATAATTTTGCAAAAAATATGAAATTAATTTTATTTTTCTAAAGAATAATTTGTATCAACTTCTTGGGGCATTATATTTGTAGGCTCCGCTGTAAATTTGTCAAATTCACTTGGAGGGAATGCTTTGTATGGTCTTGGAATTAATTGAAGTGCGTGCAAGTTAGTCCGAACACCCGGTCAAAAAAAAAGAGGGCAAATTACACCATCGGTCCCTACATTTTGCCCCTCGTATTATTTTTACACGTTCAATTAATTCAATTTTGACTCTTACTATTAGATTTTTTGTCAATTTGGACAAATTAATAATGTCATTAGTGTTTTGATGAAAAATAATTACCGAATTAATTGATGTTAACTTATTGAGTCGAGTAACTCTATAATTTTGCTTTTAAAAATACTCACATATGTTACTTATATGTATATTTTTCATTAAAAAAGATAAATAGTAACAATCAATTAGATCAAATTGAAACAAAATTAAAAATTAAAAATTAAATTTGACTTAATTAAAATTACAAGAATCAAAATAATAAACTAAATAATATATCACTACGATAAAAAATAATAATAAAAATAAAAAAGTCAGAACGTACACTATTTAAATCATTACAAAGTACTCCTACTCAAAAAAGAACTTTTATTTTATTTTATTTTATTTTTTTTAAGTCTAAACCCTTGCCATATATATATACACAAACCCATGTCCCATAAACCTATGTCCCTAAAAGCTCGGAACCTTTCCAACAGAATACAAGGCTGCTCAAGCTCAGGTTTTGCCTCAAAACCACTCTGCTCACATCCACCGGCGGCTACCGGTTTCCGGTAAGTCCTTTCTCTCTCTCCGATTATCGTTCTTCAGACTCTGAACTAGGGTTTGTCATTCAATTTTCTCGAATTCTTCGCAAATTCTCAAAAACAGTCTACAGTTTTTTTTTTGGTTTCTAAGTGTCAATTTCATGGTAAAACATAGATGTCTTGAACTTCTTAAGAGTACAGTTGAGTTTTTCTTTTGGCAAGGAATTGAACAAAAAATTGAAGTCCTCGTTGTTCCAAGCGATCATCTGTCTATATATATATATATATATATATTTTATGCTTATGTATGTATGTATGTATGTATGTGGTTGTATATATCGCCCCTGACATATGCTGGATTATGAAGGAAAATCTGAAGGGTGAAAGTTGTTGTCAAAATTGAATTTTTTTTTGTTAGTGTTTCACAAAATTTTATTAATACTAAGGATTTGGTTTCGTTTTGTACCGTGATGACTAAATTTGATACCATATGATAGGTTATTAATGTATTGATTTAATTTAATGGGCTTCAATTTTCATGTCTCGTGTTATACCAATGCATTGCTTATACATTTAGGACCGGTTTGAATGGATGTGAATTTCAAATTTATGGATTTGACACTAATTATTCAAGGAGAGTAACCCAAATTATGAATTTCAAGATTGAATTAAATAAATATACTATGATGGATTTGAAATAACTATTTAAAAGTATTTATTTAAAATCATGCTAAGAATAGTATCCTACTAAAATACATCTCTTTTATCTCAACTTTTTTTCTTCTATAGTTTTTCTGCCCTCCTATAATAGCTAACTTTCCAATATTTTTAACCTCAAATTCCTTGATTTGAAATTCACATCCATCCAAACGGACCCTTGGGGAGAATATTGCTGGAATCTTGGTAAACCTTGGGGATTTGGTTAGTGTTTTTGTAATGACATAAGAAACCAAGATTGATCATCTAAATCCTGTTTAAAATTGCTGATTCATTTTTCTTTTCAATTCAGAAGATGTGAACACCAACTCGCACCTTTGAACTCCCTTCCTTTTTGTGTGGGTGTGTGGTGAGGTTGACCTACGTGCGTGCATGCGTGCGTGTGTGCATGCATGTTGTATCCTGCTACTGATGCAGATTGAATTTTAGAAAATAAGTATTTTTATTTTGTTATTTTAAAATTAATGTTGGACTAGGAATATTCTAAGTTGGTATAGAATATTATAGAATTATTTAGTTATTTAGTTTCCTGATTTAATATGATGTAGTTTTTCTATTTTATTAGTTTTGATTTTATTTTCTATTTTTTTAGTTTCTTGTTTTACAAGAATTAGGTTCAATATAAATAAAGATGTAAGCTTTAGGGCAAGGGAGATAGTTTTGGAGAATTAATATATTTCGAGTCTTATATTCTTTTATTCCAACTTTGGGTATTCTTTGTAAATCAACCACTGTTGAGCCTTTATTCTTTGCATTCTTTGTGAATCAACGAGTGTAGAGAAGAATCTTACTTCCGGTATTCTTATTCGAATCAACGGATTTTAAAATTGTTACTATTTCGCGTTTCGTGCTGCATCAGCTACCTTTAGCCATCTTTGGTGTGCCAATTCCGCAAGTAAGGTTGTGTACATAGATGAAGCTAGTCTTTAATAACTCGTACTCTTGCTGTGAGCTTTATCGAAGTGGTGGGCTAGTTCCTCATCTTTGTCTTGACTTTCTAAGTTGCTTGATTAGCATGTTCTTTTATGGGATATTGTTTCTCGCTGGAAACACCTTGTTTGCATTAATTTTACTCGTTCTTTGTGCCACTTTGACTTTTGGAAGTGGCTTTGTGGTGGCTTTGGTAGTTTTATCAAGTTTTTTTTATTTTTTTTTATTTTTCATATCTCAGTTCTGCTAACTAACAAAAGCAATGGTGTGTGTAAGATTGGGCCAAGCATGTTGGCAATGACTATCATTTTGTCTGTGATTTTGTGTGTAAGATCGGGCCAAGCATGTTGGCAATGACTATCATTTTGTTTATGATTTTGTGTGTAAGATTGGTCCAAGCATATTTGCAATGACTGTCATTTTATTTGTTATCATTATATTAATTTCCTTCTTGCTCTATATTTCATTGGCTCTTCATCTTGAAACATTTGTAACAAGGATTGGTGTGCTATGGTTCTTCATTTTTGTCATGTGAGCATTGCTAGTTTTTTTATTTTTTATGTATTGTTGACAAGACACTGCATTGTTTTGTACAAAGTCTAGTGAGCCCCTATTTGTGCGTAATACAACTCTGTCTCTCTCTCTCTCTGCATGTACACTCACTCTTTGCTTACCATTTTTTTGAAAGACTCTTTGCTTACCTCAATACCATGATTTCTGGCCTAGTTTTATTTCACTATCTCAAAAAGGAACATATTGTAAAATTCTGATTGCAATTTGGTTGCATTATAGAGGTTTGAGACATTGATTTGGTTGGTTGACATGTTTTGCAAGTTCGGTTTTAAGTTGTCTTAGAAGTTCTATTGGCTGGATGATGTTGTGTTTTTTGTGGCAAGTTTTGTACTACTGGCTTCTATTCATTGTCTTTTTGTTGGAATACCATATTGCTGCAATTGAAAATCTATTCACAAAATTTATGATAGAACTCCTCTGACTGTTTGCAGGTGAACAGCATCGTTCCGAATTAGGAATCATTCTGTTGTCGTATTTTTATTTTAATGAAGGAGGAGGTCTCGTACTTATTCCAGAAACGTAGCATATCTTAACAATGGATCTGAAATTCAAAGGTAAAAGATGGGTTGGAAACATATTCCAGAAATTTGAGGCTATGTGCCAGGAAGTTGATGATTTTGTGAGCCAGGTATGATTTTCTTATCTTGTACTTGCTTTTTCCTCTGACTGCTCTTTTTAAATTTTATTTATTTTTTATATAGGGGAAATATACCTCTTATTGTAATCCTATTATAAAAGAGCCTTCACTGTTACTCTGTCTCTTGTCATCTGTAACAAACTATGAATTGTCCTTTCTGGTGGTTTCGTGTCATGTAATACAAACTATACGTGTAATCATTTTGTGAACAAGATGGTTATATGTTTTCCTGATTATTCTCTAAGTGAGAAACTCCTAATTTGAAAGTGTTCTTTTGTACAGGATACAGTTAAATATGTTGAGAACCAAGTGCATACAGTTGGTGACAGTGTGAAAAAATTTTGTTCTGATGTTGTGCATGATTTAATTCCTTCTTCTTTGGTGGAACCTGGAAACCATGAAGCTCAAGCAGTGTCTCCAAAACAAAATGATAGCATCGGCACCTATGTTAGGTCAATGATTGGTATTGAAGAAAAGGCTGTATACACTGATATTAATCAATTTTCTGTGGAGCAGGATCTGGTTGATCCTTTAAAAAACAGTCATGAACAATATCCACCTTCTGCGGATTGCATTAAAGAAGCAGAATCTGACTCATCTTTGGGACCAGAAGTCGATAATTTGAAAGATAACAAGTCAGATATTGTTCTTGATGGAAGTGAGACAAAGGAGGAGCTGATACGTATTGAAGAAAACCCTTTATGTACTGATATTAATCAATTTTCTGTGGAGAAAGATCCAGTTGATCCTTTAAAGAACAGTCCTGAACAATTTATCCATCTACCTTCGGCCGAGTGCATTAAAGAAGTAGAGTCTGACTTTTCTTTGGGACCAGAAGTTGATGCTTTGAAAGATAAGAAGTCGTATATTGACTTTGAAGAAAATGACTCAAAGGAGGATCTAATTGATAAAAAGTTCGACATTGTTGAAGAAAATGACACAAGGGATGAAGGAAATGATGTGAACGAGGAGCTGATAGATAAGAAGTCCGACATTGTTGAAGAAAATGACACAAATGAGGAGCTGATAGATATAAAATCTGATGTTATTGAAGAAAATGACACAAAGGAGTTGTCAGCTGGGCCAGAAGAGTTGGAGTTAGTTGTTCCTGAGAATAACAATTTGTCTGAATCATCATCGTTAAGCGAGTCCCCTGATGAGAGGATTCTGGCTGAAGTTCCAACTGCAACTTTGGTCTTTCATACCCAAAAGGAAGAAATGGCTTGTAATAGCCTTTTAGATGACATTGATTCCGTTTCTGATATTTCCAGCATAGTCCCACCGTCTGAAATGGACTATTCAGTTGTTTCTGGTGATAATAAAACAGCAGATTTGGGTCTTATTTATGCCAGTAGTTCTCTAACTGCAGAAACTTATAGCATGTCAGAATTTTCACATGCAAATGTTACACAAAATGAAGAGAACATATGCTATAAGCCTGTTGATGCTTTCTGGTCTTCTCAACTATTCCCAGTTTTATCTCGTGATGACAAGGTTGCGGATGCAAGACTTGCTTTCTCCAGCGGTGCCCTGTCACTGGAATCAAATGGTGGGTGATTCCTGTTTCCTAAATAATGATAAGTTACTTCATTTTCTGCTTCTTCTTGTTCTCTTTTAATTGAATCCTTTGTTTTGCAGATGTAGACTCCTTGACAACTGATGATGCTGCTTCTCTTGTTGGATCATCTGGAAATAAGCATCAATATTGCTATGAGTGTACTCAATTAGAGGCTTTAATGCCTTCATTGAAAATTGGTACGTATGTTATGGAGATTTTCACAACGGGGCACTTCTGTTTGTTGTCCTTATTTTTCAGTTACTGTTTTACTTTGCTGACTCAGATTTTTTTTATTCTGCAAGAATATTATTAGTTGATGTACTGTACTAATGAGTATGATGACAATTTGCTACTTTTGAATTTTTAATTGCTTTACCTATAGTGTTTTTTTGGTGCTTCGTGTGTACTGCTATTTTCATATAAAGTGAAAGGCATGAGTTTGTTATCCTATTTAACTCATAATTAGATAAAAGTTTAGTTGTTAAGTATACCTTTCTTTTGTACTTCATTGTGCTTTAACCACTGCTCATCTTCACTCATTTGCAGTGTTCATTTAGTACTGGCTCTGCGTATAAGGTAATAACTATAAGCTCACTATTGACGTGTCTAATACCATATGATAGGATACTGAATACCGCTTCATTAAATAAAATAAAAATAGTCCTCCCAACCACCAGCACCAGCACAAGGGAGACAGGGAGCTTACTTGTACTCAGTTAAGAGAAGAAAAACCAGCTTACAGAAATGTATATGTGGTACATCACATCTAGAATTTACATTTAATAATGTCTAACAGTACCCAAAAAGAAAAAGGGATAAAAAGGTGCAATTTCTATCTAAATGTCTCTAATGTTGCATGTGCTAAAGGTTTGAGTATTCACTTTAAAGATCCATCTGGTAGGAGGGAAGAGTGACGGAAAGGAAAGGTTCCATTATTTGGATGGAAGGAAAGGGGAAAGGGAGGAGGGTTTATAAGGAAAGCTGAGGGGAAAGGAAAAGACGGGCAAGGATCTTTCTGTTTGAGTCTACCATATGCCTTACCCTCAAAAGTGGGTGGAAGGAGGAGGGAACCATGCTCCCTTCCCCTCTTACCCCTCCTGTTTGTGCCTTGTGGGCAACAATCTTCCTATAATGATACTCCACTTTAATTATTCGGCTCACATAAAACATGAATGCACATGTGACCCAATGAAATGTTTACTATACTGTAAGTTTGTAACTTTACAGTACGACTTTAGAGGATCCAAACTCTTTTTGGACAAGTAAGGTGTAATTCACCCTCTACTATTGGGGGCCATATAGGCAAGCAGGTTTTTTATTTTATTTATTATTATTATTTTTTATTCTGTTGGATCTTTAGCCAGAGAATTTTTTAATTTTTGTTATCCTCCCACCCACCCACACCCCCCCCCCTGCTGGGGGCCGCG